TTTTTTTTTTTTTATAACTGAAATTATTTAAATACGTTTAAATATGTTCAAATATTTTATATGTTTAAATATTTAAAAATATATTGAACTATCTTTTGATTTAGGTTAATTTAAATAGATTTTGGTTTAGTAGTTATTAATAAATAGTACGTACTCCGTGCGATGTACGAGACAGAGATTTTAAATGAGTTATTTTCACAGTCTTTGTTCGTTTAAGTCTAAAAAGTAATAGGGTTGTTATCTATTTTTTACCTCTTTTAATCAACATTGTTAAGTCTAAAAGACAATATGGTTATAAACTTTTGTCCACATCTTTTGACCAGCGTTGTTTTTCTAGCCAGAACATTAAATATGAGAATGTGAGGGCTAGCTTGTAAATTATTCATATATTATTTCACTAAAATATTTATATTAATAAATAATTAATTTTAGCATATAAATTTATCCCTTGATATAAGAGAAAGTAACAGTTTTATTTATTCTTGTTCACCATGTAATATTTAATTATTATTTTATTATATAATAAAAAGGAACACTGTAAATAGTATAGTAGAATTGTTATAAAATCATATGAATTATACAATATGGATTTAATATCTTTTTATGATTTCATAATATAACAATAATATATTGTTAATGATATGAGGATTTACATAATACTATTGATTTATTCTTTAATGTTAAGATATTGAATAGGTAATATATGATTCACTAATTTGTAATCTGTCTCTTTTTATATTGAAAATAATCATGTGATTGAGTAGAGATAACAATTATCTATAAATTTCTTCATTTAAGGATTAATTTTTAAATTAGTTTAAGTGTTGAATGCATCCCGATTTTCTTGTAACTAAAATGATTTTAAATATCAAATTTTTACTTCAAAACCACACGTAAATTTGGATGCAGATTTTATTAAAAATGAATTCAACAAAACAATAATTTTAGGGGCATTTAATGCACCCCTATTTTATGATATATAAAATATAAAAACTTACTAATATGGTGTACAATTAATTATGAGTTGACTTTTCTTCCTACTAATTATAGTAAATGAGATGGCCTTTTATATAAGTATAGATATGTTAGTTATAAATAACATATAATATATATTAGTTAAATATAATTATATTACTATTATGATATAATACTTTTTAATAATACCAATTATTAATAGGATTTTTTTTTTTTTTTTTGCCTAAACGATAGAGATATTATAAATCAAAACGCACAACTGTGCAAAAGCAGCCCAAGGCTGAATATTACAACCCGGAACTAGGAACTGAGAGAACGGAACAAAAGTCCGCCTAGAACCTCGCTAGCAACGCTAGAATAGAAAAAC